TGGTTCTTTAGTGTTTTGTTCCAGTGTTTATTATCAAATGCATAACAGCGCCCCCCACATTTCTGCACCAAGTCATTCAGAGCTTCATTTTCACTGATCCACTTTTCGATAGTTTTGCCATCTTCAAGCTCATTACCGTGAGTGAAAACTACAATGGTGTATTTGAATGCCTCTTCAGAGAAATATTCCTCTATTAGTTGAACCACAGCCTGTTCATGCTGTGTGAACCTCTCCACTTTGAACACAAGCAAAAATGCATGGACCCCTTCTTTACATTTATCAATACACATGGAGAGATCTTGGCAATTGTTCTTCTCAGTACTTGATGGGTTAGTGTCAAAAAATCCTGGGGTGTCGATCACATTAATGTTATTCCCTTTCACCGTTGTTGTGTAAGACTCGCATTGCTTGGTCACAGATGCTGGTGAATCGTTGGTTTTGAACTGGTCTTTTTTGCCCGTTATAGTGTTAGCCAGACTGCTTTTCCCTGACCCAGTTTTACCCAGAAGCACTATGTTTCTTGTTCTCTTACCTGGAACAATATTATATTAAAGACACAATCAGTTTAAAATTGATTATCATTAACAATATCTTTAAAGAAAGTTTCATATAGCTCACCGCTCATGGTGTCTTGTGTTGGCCGTGGTGACTGAAAAGTTCTCCTATCCTTTTTTTCTTTTTATTTGCTCTTGCAGATTGTAACTGGTGATACTGTCTTAGGGTGGGGTTTCCAATAAGTTATATAATAATAACAAAGTTGGGCTATGATGCACTCATCACCGGGTTTTGAGACAGTGTAGTGTCCTCTTTACTATACCCACAAAAATTGTCACTGTTTGAATATGCTATATTTTACTAATAAATATTTAAACTACAACAAGAACACAGCAACATCAACAACAACATTAGGTAGATAGATTAACTGTTAACATTTCAGATTACTTGAGGTGCATGATATGTGAGCTACACTACAATAATAATAATAATAATAAAGAAAAGTACAACATTTTCAGTTGAACATGGGAGTAAATGTGACCTAAGATACATCTATTATTAATAATTGCCCTTTAGCCAACACTCGTTCTATGTGGGTAAAGTTTCCTGCCTAAGGAAATAGCAACAATTTTGCCACTGTGTACCACTCCTACCTACCTATACGACTGAGGGATTACATGAACTTCAAAGTACACTGTGTACATTTCTGGAGGTGGCATATCACCTGCATGATAGAGAGAGAGAGAGAGAGGGAGAGAGAGATTTAAAGGTCTCAGTGTTTCAGGGCAGTTTGAAGAGAAGAAGAGCAAAAAGTGTTCCTTAAGAAAAAAAAAAAAAAAAGATTCCATAGTTTTAGTCTCATCTGTAGCTCAATAAGTTCATGTTTTACACAGTGCTCTCAAGTTTTGTCAAACTCAAGGAGAGAAGACAAAGCCCCATACTGACAATTTAATAGATTCATAATACCTTGTTTTTATTTTCCAAATGTACAACAAGAACACAGCAAAACTAGGTTCAAATCAACTTCCTCTATTTGTTGGGTTTATATTACTTTATTGCTTATGATAAGCTCATTTTGAAAGTGAAAGAAAATAACAGCAGCACCAACTTTATTGATCCTCAGTTAGCTCACGTATCACAATATATTATAATAAGAAAGAGCAAAAATATAAAATGCATAAATGTATATATGGTAATAATTAATTCAAAATAAGTAGCAAATATAACAAGACTGGTGTCAAATAGGGCACAATTAAAAATAAAATACACAAATAAAGTATATATGTATGTATATATCTCTCAGTTATATACAAGAGGTTATAAGGAGAAACAAGAGGTCATAAAGACATCATAGGTACAAAATCGTATAAAACTGTAAAATTATCAGAGTATTTAGTATTTCATGTAATTTAATGAGATGTGGAAATGTCAGTGATGTTGGTGTCTGTGTGATGGTATGAATGTGTGTTGAGTTGAGTTAAATAAAAGTAGTGCCAATGCAGGTCTGTGAGTGTGTGGAGTGTGTGGTTGAAGGTGGATCATTTGAAGGTGCCGTACAGCCACAAGAGGGCAGCACAGACAGGACGCTGGCAGTAATAATAAATGTTTAACAAGTATCCATGACACCTCAAGACAAAAAATAACACAATAATTGCTCTATTACAAATCCAACATTAATAACATTTTAATCCCATCACATGCAGTTTACACCACCAGATAAAGTCACAGGTCAGATCTACGGAGAGGCGACCCCAGACACAGTAAAAACGCAAACTATTCCAGGTTTTGTTTTTAGCAATATAAATAAGTGTAATGCTATCCAGTGGACCATGCCGGCAAAGCAATATCAATGCTAATTAGTTAAGTTTATATATTTTAAGTGAAGTTAGATGTATATAAAAATAAAACAAGATACAAAATAGTTTTAGACAATAAGGTAAAAGAGACTGACTTTAATATTATCACATGAAAGTCAAACTTATTTTTTTGTAGGTCATATTTTTCAGAGTGTATTCTCATATTTATACTATATTATATATAAATCAAATCATATAGGTTTTCAAAAAGCCCTAACACACAAGGGCATACAGAAAATTTGCCAACAACACAAGAACATGCAAATTATATAATATCTTGTCTCAATCAGATGAAATAAAAATAAAAGCCACTGTTACCACCACCAGCTACAAAGAGCTAACTATAAACCAAAAATCCATCTGAAGAAAGATCTTGGTTGTGGATTGTTTATTTTCTGCAGAATCTCATTGGTGTAGCATCTTCCTCCATTCTCTTTCACAGTGTTCTCGATGGTCTTGAGCAGCCCTGCAACCTGGTACTGGTTGTTCCTGTATGGGTCCTGGCTGTTGTTCCAGTATTTATTATCAAACACATGACAGCGCCCTCCACATCTCTGCACCAGGGAGCGCAGAGCTTCATTGTGTGAAACCCAATCTTCAATCCTCATCCCTTCCGGAAGGTTATCTCCGTGAGTGAAGACCACAGTCATGTATTTCAGGGCCTCTTCAGAGAAATATTTAAGTATTATATCGAATACATCCTGCTCGTATTGTGTGTACCTCTCCACTCTGAGCACCAGCAGAAAACCAATGAGGACCTGGTGCACACTCTGTCATACACTTGAGGATCTCGGAGCTTAAATCTTGTATGTTTGGGTCTGTGTCAAAAAAACCTGGAGTATCGATCAGTTGGATGTTTCTTCCATGGACTCTTTTGGTCATGGACTGATTATATCTGGTCTGTGATGTTGTGGAATGATTCACTTTAAATATGTCTCTGTCTCCCAGTATAGTATTGGCCACACTGCTTTTCCCTGATCCAGTTCTTTCCCAGTAAAACTATTCTTAACGCTTCAACTTCTAAAAAGGAAAAAAAGGAAATGTTATTATTTTTGTATTGCTGAAAGGACAAGAAAGAAATTAAACACTATAGTGATTCTCAAACTTTTCACTCCAATTCAATCATAGAAATTCAACTTTCCAAGTACCATCAGAACTAAACTGGGTCTAAACAGGACTACACCATCTCTAACCTATAGACCAAAGTAGTTTTGAACAAAGGTTTACCTGAACAGTGGATAAAATAGAATTAGTATAAATCTTGAGTAACTTTCTCGTAGAAGATTTCATGATCTTTATTGCTAAGTCTGTTTTTTACCTTATCTTAGCTGGAGGATTTTTACCTATGGTGTTTTCAGTTGAACCTGGAATAACTGGAAGAAACCCACTCAGACACCAGGAGAAACAAACTCCGTGAGGAAAAGCCCTGGGATTGAACCCGGAACCTTCTTACTGTTAACTGTGAGTGCTAGTCACTCAGCTACTGTGTGACTTTACTTTGTCTCATGTTTATGTCTGTCCTTTGGAAATACCAGATTTTGTGAATTATTTAATATTTTGTCCTTCAAATTATATTAGCTTTAACTGTCTGGACGTCAGATATATACTTTACGCTTTAAGTTACTCTTACTTGACTAATACTTTTACCAAATACTTTTTTACTCTAAGGCTACTTGAGTAATTTCTCTGACCACTTCTTTGTTCTTCTACTTGAGTAATATTATTTTGAAGAAAACACTTGAACTGCAGTATTTTCTTGAAAATAATACTGCAACCTCTGGACTTCTTTAGAAGGATGCCTGCTTCACTTTGGACCCCTGAGACAGGCTGGTGCACTCAAGACAGTGGAAACACTTTTGGATCCAGTGGAAACCTGGTCAATGAGTAACTATACCACAGAATCACAGAAATATAAATACCTTGTATATGTGATGGTGTGTTTTCAAACAAAGCTTTTGCAAGTCCTTCCACACCAAGTAAAGCTCCCAGCAAGACTCTTGCTGCAATTTTAATGTGTAACTGGATCCTCTTCATGTTGTTTATCACAAATTCCAGGAACACGTTTGTGTAATGTTTCCAGTCCTTCTCTCTCACAGTCACTTCAATGGTCTTGAGCAGCTCTGTGACCTGGTGCTGGTTGTTCCTGTATGGGTCCTGGCTGTTGTTCCAGTATTTTTTATCAAACACATGACAGCGCCCTCCACATTTCTGCACTAGGGAGCGCAGGGAGCTATTCTCATAAACCCAGTCTTTAATCTTCACCCCTTTGTCCAGCTGATCTCCATGAGTGAAGACCACAGTGGTGTAGTTCAGAGCCTCTTGAGAGAAATACCCTAGTATATTTTTGACCACTTCCTGCTCCTGTTTTGTGTACCTCTCCACTTTGAGCACCAGCAGAAAAGCATGAGGCCCTGGGGCACTCTCCTCGATACACTTGAGTATCTCTGGACTCAGATCTGTGTTGTTCAGGTCAGTGTCAAATAGACCTGGAGTATCGATCAAATGAATGAGTCGTCCGTTTATGTTTTTGGTTTGAGCATAACATTTTTTGGTCTCAGAATTTGGGGAAGCACTCTCCTTAAACTTTCCCTCTTCTCCAAAAATTAGGTTTGCCAAACTGCTTTTTCCTGCTCCAGTTTTGCCCAATAACACAATCCTCATTGGTCCACTTTCTAAAAATGTAAAACATAAATTTTTTCATTAAAACATAAATCACATGCACATGCCAGCTGACTGTGGCAAAAATATAAATTATATAAAATATTAATCACAGCACCAGACAGATAAAAGTTTACTACTCACGCTCCATGTCACTGTTTAAATGTGAGGGCACAGTCTCGTATCTGCAGTCTGCTTCACCTGATCTGTTACAGTCGCAAATTTTTGCTTTCAGTTTTGTTATAGAGGGAGTGGTTTTGTACCACATGGCATAATCACATGTTTTCTGTGAAACCCACTTTCTCTCTACAGGTCTCTCTCTACTTACAAAATAAACATAAGTAATTTTGTACACCACGGTTTACAAAATGTTTGCTTAAAATCTTCAAATGTAGACATAATAACACTGACATTTAACATAGACATTTTGTGAAAAATCTTGCCCGAAAAAGAAAACACGAAAACCTGTTTTGAACACTTAAAATATCATATATTACCTATTAAAAAAAAAAAAAAGATTAGAGAAAAAAAAGAAAAAAAAAAAGATTCCTCCCTGTAAAGATTAGAGTAGCTTCAGAAAGAAAGAAAAGACAGAAAGGAAGAGTTATGAATAAATTGTTTGAAAATTAGAGTTTGTTGTTTTTTAGTTTTGTGAATATAGTATTTGTCCAAGAAAATTATTAGATACGATATAGTAATTTTACTATTATTTCATGTAAATAACGTATTTTCATTTATTTATTTATTTTCTGACATGACGTTAGTCCAATCAGTGAACAGTGTACGGTCACTGACTATCCAATCAGGACGCGAGTTGCAGCAGGGGGCGGGTTCTTCCTGTGTGTCTGAGGCGTCGCCATTTTGTGTCTGCTGCTAAAGGTGATTTTACAGCTTCTCTGTCCCATGCGGATCTTTGCACACAATTCTCACCTAACACCGCTGAATTTAGCTCATTTTTAGTCTCTTTGCTCCTGGTGAGTATTTTTCAACGAGATTTTTTTCGTTGTTTTTCATTTTTCCTGACTTTGAGCGTCTTTTTTGAGCGGTTTTGTTGACATTTTTACCCATTTTCCCCCTAGCTTGTGCTCCTCCGTGGCTGTGCTGCTTTTGTTGAGTTCAGTTTGAGATTACAACGCGATTTGCTCGTATTTTAAGCTATTTTCTATCTTCCTTTTTCATTTTTTGCCTCTCTAGGCCTAGTCCACCTACCTGAATTTTCCGTAGCGGTCTGTCCTCTTTGCGTGCTGGTATTTTTTGTAGAATCATTTTCATTATGTGCGCACTAGCATTCAGCGCTACTGCTGTTTATCGTTTGCTGTGGTTGCGTTTATTTTAATACAGTGCATAAAACACAATGGGTTCTAATGAAAGTTTTTTATTTTGTGCATGTTTTTTAAGCTTTTGATGCAGATTCAATGCAGTTTTTTTTATAATCAAGTGAAAGCATGATCATATCGCCCATGATTTAGGCCTATCAAAAAGATAAGATGTAATATGAAGAAAATTAACCCACTCGCCAAACCCTCAAAGACTCAACATATACCTTTAAAGCTGTAAAAAAAAAAAATACAGTAAATGAGTCATAGGCTCTATGTCACCCATTTACTGTAAAATGTACTGACCTCTGCATGGAAAAAGTGGTCATCTAAATTAGGGATCCTAAACTGTTCAGACTGGGACCCCCAAAACAGCCATGCACTGGACTCAGGACCCCAAATGTAAAATATAATGGCAGCCAGTTACAAATTTGAGTGTCAAAATGTGTAAAATCTGTTTAATAGTATCTGAGTGTTGTCTTTTGCTATTTGACGTAAATCCATGTATAGTTTTCAAATCACCATATACTTTACTGTTTTTAACTGGACTCCCATTTTCCTTATCACTTGCACCCTTCATAATTTCATAATTATGGCTATTAAAATAGGTACTTTTGGAACTTAATTCTGAATATAATGTGTAGCCCTATCAATCAGACTAAAATGCAATGTCAGAAAAGTACAATTTATTAAAACAGTTACACAAAGTCTGCTTGTGGATTTAAACCCACAAAAGTCACTAAGTAGCAATCTTTATATTTATTCATATCAGCTTTATTTTTTTTAATCTTGCAGACTAAAGCACAACATTTCACTACTGAACCTTGTTACAATTCATCTGTCCACTTCTAATTTTGATATTTTGGTTTTTTCTTTTTTAGTTTTTGAAGCCACTTTTTTGAGCATCGACAAATTGTAAGTTGATCTCTTGCCTTTTTTTTTTTTTTTTCCAAACTTTAACTTTTGGAAAACCACTTCTTTTACTCCTTGATTAAGATTTTTTTCCAATTGTGGATGTAGCTATTGTAGTGTTTTCTGTATGAAATGTCTGTTGTTTTTTTTGCACAAAAATAATTTTTCACTCATTCTGTTCTGGACTCTGACTTTGGCCTTTTTTTATTCCATTTTACTGCCACTTCCTTTTTTAAAGCGAATATGCATGAGGTCCTTGTTAATGACTTTATAGTGCATGAAATTTTTTAAAGCATGATTTTTATTTCAACTTTTTTACCTTCTAAATCAAGAAAGTATTGCACAACCATACATGTGTACACCAATGCCATATATTTATATTATTTTACCTCGAAACTCTACAATTCTTTCACCAAATCAGCCCTGCTCCTTAAAGACATTATAAAGCAGATGCAAACATGCCTGCTGTTGTCAAAGCACAAACTCTACACATTAAATAAATACTTGTAACAAAAGCTGTAAGATTCATATTCATAAGCCCCCTTTTAAAAGCTAATTTGTTATTATTAACTTAACCTAAATTGGTTTGGAAGTGTTAATGATACTCTGCAGTGACATCATGCTGGGGGTGTTTTATGTGGATCTATCTTGGAATGTTCAGCTGTTACCATGGTGACACAATGATTACATTAGCAAATAGTTTTAAGGTTGCCTGAAAAAACTAAATGGAATTAAGCAACACATTTCAGGAGCATGAGATCTATACATTCATGATCCTTTTTAGATGATTTGAGTTTCAACAAAATGGCTTGTGGCTGTAATTATGAGAGACTTGTTCAAGAGTATAAATCAACCTACCTGTCATAGTTCCAGTTAACTAGATCTTTCTGATCAGATTGTGTTAAAATGAAGATAAGATTAGGCCTCAAATAGAGCAGTGCTCAAAGTTAGCATCACACCCCCAGGGAATGTTGATGACTTCAGCTGCAAAGTATCAATAAATTAGGTTGTTACTTATTTGCTGATTCTAGACCATGTACTCCTCGATACTCTCAATGAACTTTTCTGATCAAATTAACATAATGCTACCCCCTAGTGGTTTTGGAAAGAACTATTACTCTTAAGGTTTTTGTATAGTTCAGTGAAATCAAATAAATAAAATATTTACTTCCTTAATTCATACCATAAATTGCTTCATACAAGAGAGTCACGTACAATTAGGAAACCTCTGCCATTTGAAATATTCATAAAACATTTATCTACATATAGGGCTCCATTTATCAAAACAGTTTATACGATTCTAATCATGAGATAGAGGAGATAATTAAGCAGGTGTTAAAATAGTGTTTTTTTGTGTATTAGTTGTGTATGCAGTGATGAATTGGCTATGCTCTAATCAAAAAGCTGCAAATATCTGATTCAAGTTTATAGACTAGAAATGTGTAGTCTAATCCTCTAAACAGAAGGTATTTCAGCAATTTTGTGACTAATTTTACGTTTGTACAGTCATTTTAATTGGTATGCATGACACTTTATGAACACTGTGTAGATTGTCAAATGTATATATGTCAGTACCTTTATTTGCCAAACATTTTCATTCATTCTCTTTTTATCTATTTAGGCAATTTTTTTCACTTTCTTTTAGTGTTAGTTTCCCTCTTCCCCTCGTGTACCTCATTTCTGTTGTAAGTGTCCAGTATTTTGTGAAACATTGGATCTTTTTTTTTTTTTTTCCAGCTTGTGGCAGTTGACTTCTTCCAACAGAATCCTCTCATCCTCAAAACAGAAACCATGGAGTGAGTTTCACACCAGTTCAGACTCATCTAGATTGTGTAATTGAGTCACTGTCGTAGTGGCTAATCGTAATACACATTTCAGTGTTGATGAAATAGGCAGGCAAAACTTTAACCTAGCAAAGATGGCAAATACATCATTAATAAAGGCGCACTATGTAACGTTTTCTGGTAAAGGGTCCGCCACATGCTTGTCTCCATGGTGATGCTATACTATTGGTAGAATATAGTAGATCAAGGAATGTTTCACACTGTGGCATTAGACTTTTCTTTTTCTATGGAAATGGGTTTTCTGGTGAGTGGTGCACGACCTGCCTCAAATCATATTACGTTGTGTGCAATGTTTCACAGTGTAGCATTTATACTTTAAAACGTGCATTTTCGAATTGTGTTAAGAATTGTTTTTAGTCCAAAAACCTCAAAAAGATGTATTCTTTTCATAGAGCTGACCTGTAACTTGACATAATGGATTTAGTTTCCATGGAGCTAAATCATTTGTATAGTAATCCCAAACTGGAACATTGAAGGCAAGGCAATACCTTCTCCATGGAAACAAGCACGCTGGCATACCCACCACTAGAAATGTGCACCTTTAACTTTATATCATGCTTTTTCACATTTAACATCATTTCATTTGTCTTTTTTTTTTTTTTTTTTTTTTTTTAGGCGATCCAAGTCCTCGTCCAGCCTCATGTCCGGAAACGTGACGAACAAGAACGACCCCCATTCTCTGAACTCTCGCGTCTTCATCGGAAATCTCAACACGCTGCTCGTCACCAAGGCCGACGTGGAGGCCATCTTCGCCAAATACGGGAAGATCGTGGGCTGCTCCGTGCACAAGGGCTACGCGTTTGTGCAGTACGTGAGCGAGAGGAACGCCAGGGCGGCTGTGGCGGGCGAGGACGGCAGGGTCATCGTAGGACAGGTGCTAGGTGAGGCTATGAGGGGTTACTATGACGATACATTTTAAAGGGTCTAAATTGCACAAAATGGGTTCTTGTGAGCTTTAAGTTATACTGTAAAGTTTTTACCATCAAAAACATACCTGGACAAACAAAACACAACTCCAGATATGTTTTTGATGCGAAAACAACATTAAAACTTAGATCAGCAAACAGTGTATGATGTAGTATGAGTCCTTTAATAGACTTGGTCAACTGAATTCAATCTTTATTAGCACTTTCTTACCACTGCTATCTAGTCCAGTGTTTCTCAAACTGTGGTACACAAGCTCCTTTAGGTTGTTTGTGGATTTCCCTAATTTAGAGTTCACTTTAGATATTTTTTTTATCAGTTTTTGTCCTTGTCCACTTTTAGACCTAGTTTAGCTCTAGATGAGACCTGGAATAGTCCTGTTTATATACTTCAAGTAGATCTGGTGGTACTTGGAAAGACACATCTTTTCCTTGGTGGTATTTGGTGTGAAAAGTTTGAGCTCTGTTCTATCTGGATTTCAACTGAAATATCACTGGGTCAGGGGTCAGGTCATTTTAGTAACTTTATTTTTTCCATAGACATAAACTTGGCCGGAGAGCCCAAGCCCCACAGATCAAAGACGGCCAAGCGCTCAGCATCAGACATGTACAGGTGAGTCTGACACAAAGGTAATAATAGGTCACTGTAGCAGACACCTCCTCCTGGTTTAAAATGCCATTACAATTACAATCCTAACTGAACCATTTACTGTCATATACTTTTGGAATTTTATTGAAATACAATGTTTTGACTAATTAAATAAAGTTAATTCTATACATAAAATAGCGGTGTTGGAGTGCTGCACTGAATCAAAACTTACAAAAAAACATTTGCTCATTGGACTAGGGGGCTTTGATTCTTGTAGAGATGTATCTTTACTTCTATACATGATCATTCAGTAAGTTTTTTAGCAACTAATTGCTTAGTTTGTTTTTGACTAGATGAGACCACCAATAACTCTTCTATTAATGGGAAACACTGACACATCATATCATAGAGAGCTCTTTTGGTTTTAATCCTAATTAGTTCTTATTTATTTTAACCTGTTCAGATGCTCACTTCAGATACAGCTGGGTAATGATTATGACATGTTCATAAAATCCTACATACAGTTAATCATACTTCTGTTTTGTTATTATTCTCTGTCCACAGTTCCTCCTCACTTGATCTGGACTATGACTTTCAAAGAGATTATTACGATCGGTAAGTATCCAGTTGGTGCCCTATAGCACTGTCAAAAAAAATGTGAAAATCAGATACTAATCAATTCTAAAGCTAGTATCTAAATTAGATACTCATTTGAGCAAGTATTGATTTTCAACATTCACGGGACAACAAATAAGCCTCTCCTGATTAGATACAAGACTGCAGTGTAATATAAAAGAAATTACTATGATTTAATGAAAATGTCAAAATGACATTCTGTTCTATCTATATAAAGAGTGTTTTTATTATCAGCGTGGTATCGAGTATCAAGTGTATTCCTATACTATTCCCATTTAAATCCAGTTTGTAATTTTAGGATTGTGACAACACTGGTTGCCTAATACTGGAGTTTAATGATATAATCAAATTTATCAAACACAAATTATTATACAACTCCAGAACAGTTAATAATATAACAGAGTTTTGGTGTGTGTATTAACATAGCCAGTGTTTCTTGTACATAAGTGTAGTAAAACTCCTTTCTCTCTTGTGTTTTAGCATGTACACGTACCCGTCCCGTCTGCCTGTGCCGTCCCTGCCCCTCTCTCGCCCTGTGGTGCCCTCCAAACGGCCCCGGGTCAGTGTGAGCGGAGGCAGCACCCGAAGGAACCGTAACAGCTTCTCCTCGTCCACCAGGGGGAGCCCACGCAACTCACGAACAAGTAAAAAGCAACTTTTTACAACAAGAAAAATAGAGGAATAATGAAGACATGCATAAATGTGTATTATAGGACAATTCTCTTCTTCCTCAGTGAGAGTGGACGACCTGCAGACGGTGAAGAGGGAGCTGACTCAGATCAAACACAAAGTGGACTTCCTTTTGGAGAGTTTAGAGCGAATGGAGAACAGCGGCAAGAGAACAGGTCAGAGCATACGTACTACACAGAGTACAGTTACCACATAGATTTACAAAGGTGCAACTAAGCAGGTCACACTAATGGAGGGATGTCCAAACTATGGATTGGGGACCAAATGCAGACATCATACGGATTTTTTAATGCCCTTAGGCCTTCTGCTGAAATGGCCTGATCATAGGCATTCATTTTAACTGCAAATAATTCTACATTTTAAACTTCAATAACATCACATTGCAGTGTGATCTGTTGGTTCTGTCAGAATGCTGTAGAATGCATCTGAATGTTTCACTGTAGTGACCACGTGTCCGTGAATCTGTTTTGAGATGTAGCCCTCAGTGAAATGCACAAATGAATCTAATGTTCTTCTCTCCCACACAGAAACTCGCAGTTCGACAGCAGAGCCTGGTGAGGTCTCTCCGGGTTCCTCTTACAAACATGACGAAGAACTGAACCAAGACCAGAACCACGAGCTGCACTCGGAGGAGGAGGGGGACCTGCTGGACGAGGAGCAGCCCGAGGTCAGTCACATGCTCCAAGCCAGTCAACCACAGAGACACAGAGACCTGCTGTAGTTAGACGCCAAGACATACTTTATCATACAAAAATGTCTTTTTGTCTCTGTACAATTGTGATCATATTTTATTTCACTGTATTTTCCTTTTATATTACTGCCATTATAGACAAAGATCATTTAAGTAATATAATTTCCTCTACAAACAATAGGGCTTTCTTAAATAATTTTTTTTTTGGTGACATATTTCAGGTGATGAAATGTCCTATGCAGATGGCTAAATCATGTTTTACCTTTGGTCCACCACCTGCGTCTCCGTGGAGATATTATTGCTTTGTCTAAAAATGCTCCACAGTTTATAAATCTATGACACCCGTGGATCATTGTGATAATTCTGACATTTTAACATCCAAGAGTTATCTAAAACCACTTAATAAAAGAAACAAGTCTGCAATCTTCCACATTAGAAAACTGCAGCGCCCACTGGGAGCTGATGTCATTGTAAACATCATCACAACTATCATGCACGAATCTCACAAATTACAACTTCAAGAGGGTAAATGAAAAGGGGAAACTACTATAACAGGGTTGAAAGCTCTGAAAAGTCCATTTTGCTTTAACACGTAAAAGCAGTGACTTTCTGCCTGCCAGTTCAAATTGTGATTATGATTCAGTCTTGCAGATTATTGACTCTTTTTATTGATTTAAAATGTTTTATCATCTGCAGCTGAAGGCTGAAGAGGAGGAGGAGGAGGAGGATGGAGAACGAGAGGAAGGAGAGGACGATGGAGACAGCGCCAATGGAGATTGAGCAGAAAAACTTTATTAATATTATTCGTAACCGCACAGAGAACAATGTTTATGATGCACCACATGGTCAAATCTACAGACAGGAACAGACGGCGCCATTTTGAAATCTTTCCTATTTTACCTCAATAACTTTTCCATTTTTTTTGGTTCATATCTTGTTGCAAGTTTAAACTGCAGAAATAGAAAGGACTCTATAAGGAAGCTGCTGTTGTTTTGCATCTTGACCAGCAGAGGGCAGTGTGACATTAAAACTGCTCTCAAGTTAAGCCATTTCACCAATACAACCTACCTGAGCATGGATCATTTTGCCTATAAAGTTGGAAATGCACAAACCGAAACCTTTTTGTTTGTAATTTTAGTTTATATTTTACTGTAAGTCAGTGCGAATCAATGTATCTGTTGTTGTCAAGTTTGTATCAAAAGCACTGGTTCAAATTAATAAATATGTTTATAAGTTATAGCAATGTTTTCAGAGCTTTTTGTACCTGATATTGACAAAGTTCTCACCATGGCGATAATTAGTCCATATTTTATACTCAGTCCAAAATGTGCTAAAACATGAATGTAACTGGTTGAGGTTCAAGTATTTAGCATTAAACTTCTCTATCTGCCTGGAGACTGGGGGTGCCACCAGGTCAAGTTACAAGTCGGATCTGTGGAGAGCCGACCCTGCTGACAGTGAGGATATTTTTTCAAGGATTTTTTGACCAACAAAAATGTTAATAGTTGCAAGATTGGAACTTTCCAATCAATGCATTAACATCCTTCACTATAAGTTACGCTGTGCACATTTAATATAGACAATCTTTTTGCATATCTTCAGTATTATCGAGTAGTTAGTGTATTGCCTATTTCAAGACAAAGTGTACAATGCAACTTTCCTGGTGAATGGTCCACTACCTGCTTGTCTTTTTAAACATTCAAACCTACTTTTTACCTTTTTACTTGTTCCTCAGTATGGCATTAACCTAAGCATTTATTAAAGCATTTATTAGATGCCTAGAAAATGTAGCATACTTATCCACAGATCTGACCTGCATGGCTTGGAGATGAGCTTAATGCCTTACAGGGGAACATTCTAGACACAGCTATAAGGTTAAGGTTGTCCCCACAGGGAAATTTGTCCTCTGCATTTGACCCATTCATCAATATTGCTGTGGCAACCATTCTATAGCAGTGGGACCCGTCTCTAGATCTTGAGCTTGGCTTCGTAGGCTTTTGTCTATAGTGCATGTTTTGGGTTGATAAGGAAAGGATGAGGAGGATGAGTGCTCAGAGGAAATAGGAGAAATACACAAACTCTACACCTGAGACCTTCTTGCTGTGAGGCCAGAACCATGTCACCCATCACTGGTAAATAAGGTAATAATCATAACTTCATTAGGTTTGACACAGAAGATTTTAGAAAGACAAATGGGTCTGGAACTGTATCCTGTCTCTGATTTCAGATGGGTGTGATTGACAGGCGGATTAACCAATCAGAAAACCCTATGATCTGTTGGACATGGCAGATAGAAATCTAAAATTGAATAACAGGAGAAACAGCGCAGATTTCTACAGAATCCACAATCAAAACGCTAATTGTCAAATAAATAAATAGAATGTAGGAAGTAGGAGGTCAATTCCATATTCCATAAATTTTGTGATTTTACAAATTGAGCAGTAAACAAAATAACGACCCATGTGTACAGACAGTATGTGTGTTTTTCATGGTACTTTACATTTACAATAGATTTTGGCCTCGTGTGTTTTCTTCATGGTTCGTTGCCTCTAGCCCTGCATCCCCTGGCTCTCGCTCACAGTTCACAAGAATATTGAGCTGCCTTTCATGCTCTTTTTTTCACTCCCTCTCTCTCTCTCCTTGTCATTCTTTCTCTCTCACTCTGTCTTTCTCTCTGTCTATTCATCTCTCTCTTCTTCTCTTTCTCTCTCCTGCTCTCTCTCTCTCTTGTCTTCTCTCTCTTTCTCTGATGGTGCATTTATTACACTCCACTGAGCTGCTGTATAATATATTTGAATTAGGAAACGGAGTGATCGATTGTGTTTGTGTAGCTCTCATACTAATGGACTCAGGGTTTATGTGTCCGCACCAAGACCTGGTTAATCAAATATTTCAGTTTAAATTATGTACACAGTTTTCAAATTCAAAATTGATATGCACATTTCATGAATGACAATTTTTCAAAGACGATGCTAAAAATGTATAGACAAAATACCCACTTTGGTCTTTCAAACACCAATATACAATCATATTTGTAGAGACATCGTGCTGGGGGTGTTCAACATTTATCTCTGTGATGGAATGTTCAGAAGTTACCATGGTCGCACAATGCACGCATTTTCAAACTCTGTCAAAACACTGTTTAACAACACAAATCAGCTCACTTGGTGTAGTTCCAGCTAAGCCAGTTCTTTCTGGTCAAAAGCTCAGAGTAAAGTCTCAACTTGTTTAACAGAGCTTCAGACAGAGCAGTGCCTAGAGTTAGCATCACACCCTCAGGGAATGTTAATGACAGCTGCAAAGCATCAACAGCATAAAGGTACAGTGTGTAACTTTACGGAGGTGAATGCAGAATATCATGGACACAAAGTTTAAACCATACTTCAAAATATTTTCCATTTACTCACCGAGGAAAGAGTAACCAAAACATTTACTCAAGTAAGAGTACTGTTACGTTAATAAAATATTACTCAAGCAGGAGTAAAAGTATGGTATCTTGTGTTGTGTAAGTTTATACAACAATTAACAACGAGAACTACTGGCCTCAGAGTGGAGAGAATTAGAGAGTGTGCGTCTTTATAATGAGATTTACTAGAGGTAGAAGCATATAAGTGTATTATGGTGTAAACAGATGTACAGGCAGATCTGAGTTTCGGAGTACAGCAGGATTATGGGTAAAGAGTAAAGAGAGAGGGGGGAAAGGAGGGAGCAGACAGAAAGAGGGATAGAGCAGAGATGGAGAGATGGTGAGAGAGATGGAGAGAGAGAGGGTGGAGAGATGGAGAGAGAGAGGGGTAGATGGAGAAAGATGGAGAGATGAGAGAGAGGTGAGTAGACGGAGAAAGATGGAGAGATGGAGAGAGAGATGAGTAGATGGAGAAAAGATGGAGAGTTAGAGAAAGTGATGGAGAGATGGAGAGAGAGGGGGTAGATGGAGAAAGATGGAGAGATGGAGAGAGAGATGAGTCGATGGAGAAAGATGGAGAGATGGAGAGAGAGCGATGAGTAGATGGAGAAAGCATGGAGAGATGGAGAGACAGAGAAAGATGAGTAGATGGAGAAAGATGGAGAGATGGAGAGATGAGTAGATAGAGACAGACGAAGAAAGAGATGAGTAGATGGAGAAAGATGGAGAGATGGAGAGAGAGGGATGAGTAAATTCAGAGATGGAGAGATGAAACCTTGACAACAATGTAATGCAAAAATAAAAACAGATCTGACATGTAACTCGGTCTTGGTCGTGTCCTCCACTTTTCTCCATGGAGCTGGAATGTTTAATGCTATACTGTGGAACATTTAGGAAAATCAATTACATCTCCATAGAGACCCCAGAAAAGTTACACAGTACACCTTTAAACGGCACCAAAAAGGCTGTGATTGTGAACATCTCTGATCATATACAGTATAAATGAAATGGTATTACAGTGCTTTTATAGATTACATTGCTCCAACTAATGCCACTGTGTAACTTTATCTCCTGTTGTTATGTCACTAAGGCTATAGGCTGCTTGCTCCTCATTAATATTCATTTAATCCACAGAAACTGGGTCAGCGCTGGGGCTCACGTCCACGTCTCCCATTGGCTGCTCGCCGCTCGGTGTCGTCCTATAGAAACGTGTGTGTGGGAGGGTTTGTATCGCACTGTGGGGACTGAAATCCGTACACGCTCACATCACGGTTTAAAGTTCAGATGTGGGAAAAAAAAGAAAAAGTTAAAGGTGCAATGTGTAACTTTGCTGTTGAATGGCCTGTCGCCTGCTTGACTCATGGAGATGTTTTGCTTTGTCCAGAATGTTCCACTGTATGGCATTAAAGTCATCTGTCTTGCATGAATGTAATTTTCACTGCTCTATTGCTCAGAAATACCTTGAAAAGCATCCATTTCAACTTTGAGTGGGCTTGCCTCTTCACAGATCTGAACTGTAACTTGGCCTGGTGGTGTCACGTATTTATTTACAAAGATAGATAAGTTTAATGCCATACTGTGCAACATGTAGATGAAGAGACAGTGCACCTTTAAAGGGACAGTTTGGAATTATGGACATAGGACCTCATTTCTTAGTGAGCCAGAGTGTTGGAGACGTGTGGAGACACTTTTTGAAATATTCCATCCAGTCCTTGTATTTGCAGAGGTCGCTGGTGCTAGGCTAGTGCATGTCAATGGCCATAGTTAGCCTGCCACTAAAAACAGTCTTACCCACTCCACAAAACAGCCGAAACAAATCTATTATTACACCAGACTGTCAGTGTGAATGTCTGTGTTGATAGAATAATGTCTGAAATAAAACTAACCTTGCATTGCTTGAATCTTCGCATATTGAGGGACTATTTTCTCATATATCAGTCCCCCGCTGCCAAGCTTTCGATCAGGAAGTACAACTCGCTTCTGCTGCTAGGACATAAATCCTTCAAATACAAGGTTGGTTTTCTAAAATAAAAAAAATAAAAATCTAAAAACCAAAAAAACTTCTAAAATTATTCTATCAACACAGACATTCACACTGACAGTCTGGTGTAATAATAGATTTGCTTTGGGTGTTTTGTGGAGTGGGTAAGACTGTTTTTAGTGGCAGGCTAACTATGGCCATTGACATGCACTAGCCTAGCACCAGCGACCTCTGCAACTACAAGGACAAGATGGAATATTTTAAAAATTGTCTCCACACATCTTCAACACTCTGGTTCACTAGGAAATGAGGCCCTATGTCCAAAATTCTGTCCCTTTAAGGTTTGAGTGTAGCTTAAAGTATACATGACAGGTAAGACCACTCATTTCATTAGAACATGATTAAATATAAATAAAATCTCACTAAAAGATTTGCTATTTTTTTCTAGTTCTGAATTTTTTATGGATTTTATATTTTGACTTCCTGTTTGGACACAGGCAGCAGATGTGACATATGTAGAGGTAATTCCATAACTGTTACCTAGCAACCATAATGTAAACAAGGGCCAAAACTTGTCTAAATTGCACAATAGTTATGATGAGACTAATACAAATAGCTAAATTAAGGTTTAATTAAAGAAAACCCTTAAACTATCTTTGCATTTTTTGCATTTTGGTATTTTCTATGTTGATGACATAGGCAGTGGCATTCTGGTTTAGAATATTTCTGCAATGCATACGACAGGTAAGCACACCAGAGCACTTCAAAAAAAAAAAAAATTTAAGCACCAGGTCCCAAATATGTTAATATACATATCCCTGTTTGTGTTACTGTTTTTGAATTTTGTTGT